AGTTGTCAGTTCAAGTTGTCGGCGTCACGTTGTCAGAAGGGGGTGTCAGAAGCCGATGGCTACCGTGCGCTTAGAGGTGATTGCTAGGACCAATGAAGAATTTGTCGTTGGAGGCAGCGCAGGTATTGTAAATAGCATTTATATCAGTTTTTTGTATGGAGTGCAGTTGCAGCTTTACTGTAATAATACAGGTGGCGGCTAAGCTGCACGAACCAGGGTGTGACTACCGAGCGCTCAACACGTTTTTGTTTTTGTATATTGTTAAAAATAAAAACACACAAAAAAAATCATTTATTATTTAATGGGACGCTGGTCCCCGCGACAATGTCGTCGGGGAGCGTGTTCGACGGCATGCTGGCGTTCTCCCGCGCCATGTTACGCCTGGCGAGCTTATTGATGGCGCGGAGCTGCAGGAACGCCCTCTGGATGTACAGCAGCTGCTCCTCGATCTTGTCCGCGGCCAGGGTGGGGGCTTCCCCCCGGCAGTAGCACAGCTGCTGGTATAGGTTCCAGCACATCATGCGGACCTGAGGAGTGAGAGATCGCAACGCCATGGTTTGCTCGGGTTTGCTTCTTGAGGTGACAAAGAAGCTGCAATGTGACTTACCGCTCCCGTCTCCCACGTCTTCTGTGCCGCCTTGACCTTGATGTGGCTGAGGCTCGTCTCCCACTGGAAGTCCTGCATCCTGGTCTGGTCGTAGCGCACCCAGAGCTCGGCCAGCTGGTTGTTGAGCCCCATCAGGGCCTTGGACTTCTCCTCGGTGAGCTGCATGAGGGCGCGCCGCGCCTCCTCCAGGGCGTGCAGGTCGGCGTCCTGGCGGTCGGCCAGCTGCGCGCGCGTGGCCGCCAGCGTGTCGTATCGGTCCAGGATGTCGTGGACGCTCGTGAACTCCTTGCACTCGGCGACCACTCGCTGGAGGAAGTCCTGGTAGATGCGGTACTCGCCGACGTGCTGTTCCATGGTCTCCTTGATGTGCTCCAGCTCCTCGACGCGCTTCTTCAGGTTCTCGATTTCGGCGTCCCGCCTCTTTTGGGTGGCCTCCTCCTCGCGCACCTTCTGCTCCGCGCGCTCGCGCTTCTCGTGGTTCTCCTGCGCATGCGCACAGCGGACGACACCATGCAGTTACATATAACGTTCAAAATGAGCTTCAAACGCAATAGTGTTCCCGCGCTCACCTTGATGAACTTGTTGTACTTGATGAAGGCGGAGCGCAGGTCGCGCTCTTTCTCGCGCAAGTCCTCCCACTTGGCGTCCATCTCGGTCCTCATCTCGGCCTGGTACTCCCGCTTGGAGGCCAGCTCCTTGGCGCACACCTCCAAGTCCCTCCTCGCGGCCACCAGCTCGGCGGCGGGACTCGTACGCGGCTTGTCCCATACCGGCCGTTGTCTACGGAGCACGACAGGAGGAGTTCGTCAGATTACTTACATCTCCCTTTCACACCCCGCTAACGCCTCTGTGTTATTGTGGTGCACCTACCTGGGTAGCTCCGCGTCGAGCTTGGATTTGAAGTAGTCCCCTACTGCCTCGTGGGCCTTCGTGTGGATTGGAGCCCAGTACGGTAGGTCCCGCTTCGCACTTTTCTTCGGCTGTGACATCTTGTCGTTTATAACAGGCTCGGTATGATTCCAGCACTTTACCACCGCCTGCACACGAACGGTCTAGTGTGCATCACGACTCGTGCAGCTAGCTGCGCCGGGCACTGCAGAGGGGTGCTGCTCTGTCGGATGGGGTCAGGGGGTGGCGCGGGCCCGCCCCCCATCAATGGTTGCTAGGGACCAACGAGTTTGTTGGTGACACACCGTGAAAATGGAAAAATCGTCCAAAGGAGACTGGGGAAAACAAGCGTGAGTAAAATATCGTCTATATGGTGGATGCAAGGCCGCATCTCGAATAGTTGTCGTTGTCGGAGGAGTTAGCCATTCGCGCGGCATCTTTCAAATGTCCCGCACCGAGTGGGCAAAGGGGCAAAGCTTCGGAAATCTTCGGGAGTGCTTCGGGCCCATATGGTTCGGGTTCGGGTCGAGAGTGTGTGAGAGAGAGAGGAGAGCCGGCGGTCGAGGAGGGGCGGGCCAGGTCAAACTCCTTTCTCGTCAATGTTTGCTTTTTGTTTGCGGCGTATTTTTGTCTCTTTTTTTTTCACGTGTACGCGTCCCAACTGCAGCTGACGGGGTGGGAACACTAGACTATTAGTTAACACTCTTGATCTTCGTTCTGAACTCTGTACTACACGAGAGCTTTATATATGTTGCAGTGCAGTAGGCAGCAGTACAGTAGCTATCAGTAGCCGTTGTAGTTTAGGCGAACCGTGTTCTGTTCAGCTGAGGCACCTCTAGAAAGACTATCAAATTATAAGTCCCATTTTTAAGTGTCAATTTTTTTTCTGAGTTATACTATAAACGCTGAAATGGCTGCGTACTTTGGCCGACGTGTCACTCGATCAGGTACTTTAACCTTTACTTTGTCAAGGTGTTAGTTCTTTTTCCAAGATTTGATCTCTAATGAATTTCTAGAAAATATTGTCCAAAGGACGATTTCTTTACTATTCTTCTTAGTATTATTTAATCTTTCAACAGTCTTGTTGCTATAGTGTGTGTCTTTCTGTACCAACAGTTTTCCTACACAAGAAGTTGTGGTGCAAATCAGAGAATAATGCTGTACGCTTTATTGCCTCACTATCGTCACTGTCTGAAACGCATCAAATGCTTCAGAAGACATGCCGAGACTTTGCCGAAGCTGAACTAAAACCACACGCTGCAAAGTTTGACAGAGAGCATCTTTATCCGAAGGAACAGGTTAGATTGGTATTATGTACTTGGAAACCTAAATTTATTTTTTATCCTGGACTTATAATAATGTAGTTGTTGTATACTCCATCAGATAAAGAAAATGGGAGAATTAGGTTTAATGGCTGTTGAGGTTCCTGAAGAATATGGAGGAACTGGTCTTGATGCTTTGGCATATGCCATAGCACTGGAAGAAATATCACGGTACTTTTATTGAACATTTTTGATTCCTAATTTATTTTTTTGAAAAATCATGTCTGCCTTATGGTCTTGGTCATTTTATTATTTTTTTTCTTTGTAGTGGCTGTGCTTCGACTGGTGTTATCATGAGTGTAAACAACTCTCTTTATCTAGGGCCAGTGAAATATTTTGGAAACAAAGAACAAAAAGAAAAATTCATCCCTCCTTTTGTCACTGGAGACCGTGTTGGATGCTTTGCCCTGAGTGAACCAGGTTTTAGTACATTCTGATAAATAGGCATTGAAATTACATGCGCAATGAAGATGCAGTTAGTACTTACATGTTGAATTCTTATTGTCTTAGGTAATGGTAGCGACGCTGGTGCAGCATCCACTATTGCAACGGCTACTGAGAATGGCTGGAAATTAAATGGGACCAAGTCATGGATAACCAATGGGTTTGAGTCTGAAGCCACTGTTGTGATGGCGACAACCGATAAGAGCATGAAACACAAAGGCATCAGTGCGTTTCTTCTTCCCAAACCAATTAACGGCAAGTAAACCAAACTGTTTTTAGCCTGCCCTTCTGCTTTGGAAAAGCTATTAAGAATTTTATCAGAGTTTTATTTAATTAA